GCTATTTTCTCAGGCTGTATATCCATCCAGTAGTAAAGTCAGAATTCATAAGCATATGATAAGGTTTCCCCTTAGTTCCTTCCCATCTGAGAGGCCATTCATTCGGTGCTGGTGTGCAAGACTTCTGTTTCTTCATTACTTCACTTACTTTCTTGGATAATGGGATTTCTGCTTTTTGCCTAGTCACTAGCTTGCTGAAGTTGCAATCCAGCATCTTCCTATGTCCTTATGTGGCCACATGCCTTGTGAGTTTTGCCCACTTCTAGTCATTTGTGAGTTTTGTCCACTTCTAGTCTGCCATAATGCTTCCCCTTCCTCCAAGTATTTGAAAATGTCTCCTTTCACATAACCTGCTGAGTGTTTACCAATTGCAATCAAGAAAATTCTGTGATTCATTATTATTACATATATCTTTTATAATTGGGTATTATATGTCTATTGTCTGTACTCTTCTACAGATTGTCTATACTGTTTAGAAATTCTGTAGAATACATGACATGCCTTTTATTAACAATGATAGTGATCATCTATCTCTGACATGTAGTCCAAATATTTTCTCTGTAATTTGCTATACCTTCAATGTATAAACTTTGTATTTTTTGGAGGGTGTACCAGAAATCAAACTCATGATCTCGTGCTTTCCAGGCAGGCACTTTTCCAGCCTCTAGAATTTGTACTTTTATGTAGTCAGATTTGTTAACATTTTTATTTGTGACTTCTGATGTAATTCCATACTTGAAAGGTCTTTCTAATTATTAACATAAACCTTCATATATTTAAATTACTTTCATGGTTCTAATTTTTATATTTGGGATTTTATTTATGGTAGTATGAATTATAAATCTAATTTTTTTAACCACTAAAAGCTGGGGTTGATTCAAATCATGGTTTTATGAAGAAACTTTTTCCACTAATCTGAATTGCCAACTTTATTATGTATTTTTACTACAATAGCACCTTCTGTTTCTAGATTGTTCTATTCCATTGATCTAACTTTATAACCTCTATGTTGTTTTATTAGTATATTTTTAGTCACTTCAGACTGCCTTCCCTGCTGAAATACGAGTGACATAAGCAAAAGATCTTTCTTTATTTCCCCACTAATATATTCTTCCTGAGTGCTTATGACCATTTGTAGCTATATCAGGCACTCAATCAACATCTGTAATAAATGAATATTCACAGCATTTTTGCAGTGCATCATCTTCCCAACAAAAAGTTTTACCTTTTTATTATTTTTCTTCTCTAATTGGGCTATTCAAATCTTTCACATCTTCTCAAGTTAATCTTTTTATCTTTAGTATATTTTAAGTAGCACACTAAAACATTAAAATCACATGTAGTAATGGGATACTATGTGATGTTTTGATACATCTATGCATTGCATAATGTTTAAATCAGGTGATAGATATTCAACTCCACAAGCATTTTTGATTTTGTTACAGCAAAAACCTTCAAAATTCTTTCTTCTAATGTTTTGAAATGTACAGCACATGGTTATTTATGGTCACACTATGTATCTGTGATTACATTTTCTTTCCCATCTACAGTGTTGCTTGTGCCCCAACCTCTTGTTTATTTGACTTGCAAGAGACTGTTTACTTTAGGATTTTAAAAAATTGTTTTATCTCCCTTTGGGAAAGAATTCTGATTTTATTATCAAATCTTTTTTCTTTAACTCCCTAATTTCAACTTCTTTCACTAGCGAGTCTGCGCTGCTGCTTTCGTTTTATAATTTTGGTGGCTTGTGGCCTGCTTCTTAAGTGCAATGATTAAGACGTTTATTTTCAGTCTCTTTGGCCTTCATTTAAAGCTATAAACAAGAATAAGGCTATAGTTTTTCCCTGTAAAAGCTGTGCCCCAGAAAACTTTACGTATACCATGTTTTATTGTCATCATCTTCTAAATCGATCTAAATTTTAATCTTTGATCACTTAATATTTTTAATCAGCAGTGTGACTAGCAAAGAGAAGCTATGGAAGCTTATAGGTCATACTGGTGGCGAACCCATGGCACGCATCCTGCAGGCGCAGTTGTTTGTATCATTGAAAGCACTAAAAGTTTTGCCATAACTCTATGGGAGGAGAATCTAATCCAGATTTATGGGCTAAAAACATCAGGTTCAGAAGAAATCAGTTCTAAACCAATACCCAAGGAAGTGCATACATACAAAAATGAGGCTCCTATCTGAATGGGGGATTGAGGTAGCACACCAAGCTAAGACTATAGCACATGCAAAGTCCAGTCAATCAGACAATACAAGCTTTAGGTTGCTTCTATACTTGAGTTGCTATCTGTGTTCCTCCAAATCAGCCTGTTGCTTATGGGAGTGAGATGGGGGTTGTTTTTCTCTCCCAGCCCCCGCACTGCTGCCTCACTGTGGGGAGGGGTGTGGCCTCCAGCCTGTATTTTATCTAATTCTAAAATAGTGTGTTCTTTTGTTTTTTGAAGTTTCAAATATTATATATCAAAATGAAAAATTTAAAAGCAGTATATATCAACTGAGCTAACTTTAAGACTCAAGAGTATACACCTTGCAATTACTCTCTCATTCAGCGTTGACACACATTGTGTCATCCACCCACGTTTCTTCTCCTCTTTCACCTTGTGATCTACTGCATATGCTTCTGATTAGATAAATTTGATTAGGACATGTATGTGGTAATTCACGAAAATCTTACTGATTTACTCTGGTTCCAAATGTCAGATACTGCCAGGGATATAGTTTAGTGGCAAAGCATCTGCCTGGCAAGTACAAGGTCATAGGTTTGATTCTTTGTAAAAAAAAAGAGAGAGAGAGAATTTTATACCAAATGTCAGATACATAAGCACAACACGCCCCTGATTATGAATACACTTTCCTCTTTTTGATATAAAAATCTCCAAATGATATAGGAAAACATTGTGACTCCCAACATGCTAGACGTCCAATATGCCAAGTTTATGTTCCCTATAATCAAAGAATGAATTCTAGGAATAATAGAGGTTAAGAGTAGGAAATTTTATTGAGAGGGTGACAGCTTCTGAGAGTGACAGGAGCAGACTCAGAAAATGAGTTGCCCTGGACTCCACTGCATGCATGAGGTTTTATAGAGGTTTTGAATCAGGTGGGTTCAAAATCATGAAGTGAGTACAACCTGAGACAAAACTATGATCAATCAGTTAAGATCAGAAGCATAGTTGCATAAGTAGTGATGAGCCAATGGGGAAAGTTACGTAATAAGGTTACAAGGAAAGAAAAAGGGCCTTTTTTGGAAGCGATGGGTCAGGAAGTCCTGATTATCCAACCAGGTAACCGATGCCTATTTAGAATATTGATTATAGTTTATTGTTTATCCCTCAAGAAGGTGTATAAGTGTAGTCATTGCATCTTTATTTGGAGGTTTGGTCTTCAACAAATGCACCTGCAGCCACAGTTTTAATGTGTTTTTATCTTCTGCACTGTCTCCTTTGAGGGCCTAGCCCTGTGTGACTGCCTATAATTTTATACTTAGCTGTCTGTAATAGTCTCAGCCAGTCATCTGAGTACTGTCTTTTGAAAATTCAAAAAAGTATTACCCCTAGATTGTATACACAAGAATATCATCTCCTGAAAGTATTCCACGGCCATTGTTCATTTCGTAGGCAGGAAAATAGAACCAAAAGATTAAGACACTCGCTTTATTTTATTTAGGAGGCATGAAGAAGTTTAGTAGGTAAAATTTAAAGTATAGACTAAAAGGAAGTAGAGGACAGGACCTCAAAAGAGAGGTTCATGATAGCCTGGAGCTGGGAATATTTATTATTTTTGGCAATGAGATTTATAAATCTGTAAAAAACGAGCTCAGTTTAACATAGGCAGAAAGATAAGAATGGCTCATTTAACAGGTGAAAGGGTGATCTGTTTCCAGGAGAAAGGCAAGGGCCAGACTATTGTTTTTTTAAAAAATGGGTGACGTAGGGAATACAGTACATATTTGGATAGCCTTGGGTAACTTTGTATCCTGAAGCTGCAGTCTTCTTGCGAGTAAAACTTATAAATTATGATTTTTCTTGTCTCCTCCTTGCCTTGTGTATTTCTTCTGTGCTATCTCATTTCTGCTCCCCAACACTTTGATTTCTTATTCTTAAGAGGTACAGAGGGACCAAAGGCCCATCTTCTTAAGGCTGTTTCAGGCTGGAGTGGGCACTGACCCTGCCTCAGCAGGAATCAAAAGAAAAGACTTATTTATTGTCTATGACACATTCTGCCTTAGGTATACTCCTCCATTAAGGGGAGAATGTTGACAATTACCTACGATAGCCAAACCTACAGAAGGGAGCTGTGCTTAACCACTCCCACCTGCCCTCTGTCCTATTTCTTTATCCCAGTTATGTTAGCGTCTAGGGCATTCAACAGAATACTGTAAACTGGATGGTTTGAATGACAGAAATTTATTTCTCACCTCTCCATCAGTCTGAGATAGGATTCTGGTGAGACATGTATTCCTAGTCTGCAGACAGTCACCTCCACATATGGGTTTTCTTCTCTGGGGAGACAGGGTAGAAAGAAAGAGAAGGACAGACAGACAGACAGAGCACCCCCAAGGGTCTCTTCCTCTCCTTATAAAAACATTAATCCTATCAGATTAGTACCCCATGGTTATAACCTCATTTATCCTTCATTACCTCCTTAAGGGCACTACCTCAATGAGAATTAGAGCTTCACATATGAATTTGAGGGGAACACATACCAGTCTACAAATAATAATATTTTTCCTAACAATACTATCATTTCCAGCCTCATACATCTTATTACTTAGTACACTAATTCCAGCTCTTTTTTCTGTATAAATGATGTGACATATTAAAGTGATATAGTGAATATAAGAAAATGCATTTGGAAAGCCACAGATATGTTTTCTAATACAGTATGAAGATTTCTCTAAGAGTCAAGAAAAGTAGTTTGACTAAAAGTGCACTTAAATAAAACTGTGTTGTATGAATACTTAGAATAACACAACTTTTTTCTTTTGTTCCAGATTCTCAGGGGAATATTGTGACAAAAATGGAAAATAATATAATGTTTTATTCCAAGAGTAATACTGAAGATGCACTAAAGCTCCATTTATGGACAAGCGCCACAATCAAATCATCGTTTTGTGTTAGTGCATCTGCTCAAGTTTATCTTGTATATGTTTTTGACAATGGGACAATACAACCACAGGAATATCCCTTACTTCTAGAATTGCAAAGTGTAGCTTTCAAAGTGAAAGAAAAGTGCCCATACATGATATTTCATGATAATATTTCAGATTCTTTTTACTTTCTGGACAAAGGAGAGACCCTGAGAGCTTGGGCTGAAATAATCTATCCAGAAAATACTGGTCTAGATATTATTGTGAAAGTCTATGGTCCACAAATATTAAAATACAAAGAATCCTCGCACTATGAAATTGCCTTGGGATACTGCACTAACACGCTGGTGAGTTAGTATTTTACATTTCTTCATTTGATTGTAATGAATGTAAAAGTATAATGTTCAATATTTATATTTTAATATATAGATAGTTATTGTTAAGTTTAATTGGAAAATATTGAGGAATGTGTGAGTTTCTAAATAAATTAAAATATGATAAGCCATTCATTTCTGAGGAAGGTAACAGAAACCACATGTAGTCCCCAAATTCACACACCTATGACTCCTTCAGACACCCCTAGAATTTGCTTGATGTCTCTCAGTCCAACCCAGTGGAGAGTCAAGAGGCACCATCCCAGGATACTATAACAAGATAGCTCAAGCTGCTTGGCTTGTAACAACAGACATCTACTTCTTATAGTTCTGGAGGCTGACAAGTCCAAGATCAAGCTGCTAGCAGGTGACATCTCTGTCCGATGAGGAAGTGCTTTCTCATAGGCAGAATCTTTTTACTGTGTTTACACAAGATGCAAGGGGCAAGGCGGATGACAGGGCCTCTTTTATAAGAGCACTGATCACATTCATGAGTTAATCATGACTTAATCGTCCCCAAATGTCCTCCCTCCTAATACCATTGTATTTGTGATTAGGTTGAAACATACAGATTTTGGGGAACACAAAGATTCTGATGCCAGCACTACTATTTTATTATATGTATAAATACTACAAATACAAAGCAGTACGCACAAGTCACAAGCCCAAAGCTGGGTGCGCTGACACACACCTGTACCCTCAGCTACTCAAGAGGTTGAGGAATGTGGTTCACTTGAGCCCAGGAGCTTGAGATCAGCCTTGGCAGCATAGTAAGACCTTCTCCAAAAATAAAAAACACTAACCCCCCCCCCAATGCATTGTAAAACTATAAGGACACAAAGATACCCAAGATAGGTCAAATGAATGTAATGAATATGATATGGATGTCTCCTGTGGAAAGAAAAATGTGGAGAAAAGTAAAAGAACATATATAAAACAATACTGGATGTTGTGCCAAGACTCAAGGAATGTATTTAATTCACGTTTAACTAAATATATATATATAATATATATATATATATATATTATATATATATATATATAACCCTTAAAAATAGTACTTATCATAAAAGTGTAGAAGTGACCAGTGATAACATCAAAATTTGTATTTTAATAAAATAATGGATCTGTTCTTTAGTAACCAATGACATCAAGCAAGTTTTTGAATCTCTTTGTGCCTTAGTTCTATCCTTTATAAACTGGGAGTGATAGTAGTAATAAGTTCCTATAAGAATTAAATGAGGGAATAGGTATGTAGCTCAGTGATAGAATGGTAGTTGAGCATGCAAGAGGTCCCAGATGTGATCCTCAGAAATGCAAAACAAAAATGTATTTCATATATATATATATGACTTCTAAAACTATGTGCTATGTAGTATTATGACTTGTAGCTAGTGTTCCTGCAAAGCCTCATGCACTCATAGCTGTGGTTTTTTGAAGATGGCTGGATCTAGGGTGTGTGATGCTGAGTTCAAGGATGTAATGTTGGGGTTGATTCATGATATGATGTTAGCATTAAAGTGATAAAATACAAGAAACAGAAATACGGCTGCTGTTGTCACTTGTTGCTTATAGCTCACTGTTTTTGCTGCAGTGAACTAGTTTTTTGTCCTCTGTGGTGCCCCTCTGCCATGCCACCCTGCTATTATGGACTGAAACCTTTACAAACTGTGAGCTAAATAAACCTTTCCTTCTTAACTTTGGGTGTTGGGTATTTTGTCTCAGCAGGGAGAAGAGTAACCAAAACTTATGGTAACCACTGTCTATATCCACTACTATCCTATCACTACTGCCACCATAGTTCATCAGTTCTAAGGCACATGACTTTTTTTATATCAACATCTCTGAAATCAAGATGTTGTGCTAATTGCAACTCAATATTTGGTGTGTCCTCACTTTCAAGTTAAATATATGTGTATGCACAAAATTCTCATTCACTGTTTGAACAAATATCTGTGTAACCCAAATGCCTATCAAGGAGCACAATATCAATCCATAAAGTTTCTTCAGACCCCTTCCCAGTCAATCTCTGTCCTCATTTCTTAGAAAAAACTCTTCTAATTTTTTCCACTACAGATTAGTTCTGCATTTTTAGAACTCCATGGAAATGGAATTATACAACAAAACACTTTTCAAACTCAGTGTTTTGTGATTCACTCATTTTGCTGTATCAGTAATTCATTCCCTTTAAGCATTGACTAATGTTTCATTTTATGAATGTACCATTCGGCTGGATATCCAGTTCCTTGCTCTTTGGAGTCAGTATGAAAAAAGATATGGTGAATGGTCTTTCACAAGCCTTTTCAGGAACGTGTATTTTCATTTATCTTGACTAACACTGTAGTGCAATTGCTGGAGAATAGAGCGGGAAAAGGCTAAAGGAAACTGCTACACACTTTTCCAGAGTGATTACACTAGGTAAAACTCCCGTCATTAAAGTACGAGAGTCCCTTCTAGTAGAACATGCTCCCTGTCATGTCATCCCGCAACAGCTGGTTCCCACTACCTGGTCAAAGCACTCCTTGCTGGTCGCCTTTTACATCACCTGCGATTTGAGCCATCTTATTTATTTTCATGCTTTTGAATTGTTCGAGTTAGTTTTATATCTGGGTATTAGCCATTTAATAGATGTATGCTTTATAAATATTTTCTCCTAATACATTGGCTGTCTCTTTAGTCTTGTTTTCTTTGCTTTAGAGAAGTGTTTTGCTTTTAGTTTGATGCAGTCCTATTTGTCTATTTTTGCTTTCATTGCTCATAGTTTCATTTCACTGAAGAAATTACAGCCCAGACCGAAGTGATTTCTTCAGTTATTTTATTGTTTCAGTTCATTTTGAGTTTATTTTTATATAGGAGCATAATTTCATACTTGTGTATATTGATATCCAGTTTTCCCAACATCACTTATTAAAGAGACTGTTCTTTCCCCATTGTGTATACAATAAACAAAATATGAAATAAATATACTAAACAGCACCTTTGACAACTGACTATAAATGTATGGGCTTTCTATTCTGTTTCATGAATCAATGGATCTATTTTTATTCCAGAACTATGTTGTCTTAATCAAAATCGCTTTATTATATACTTGAAATCAGAGCATGTGATGCTTTCGGCTTTGTTCTTTTGCTCAGTAATTTATTGGGAATCCAATTTTCTGTCTCTAGAATGCTGCAAGAAAAATAAAAAACAGAGACAAGTATCATATTCCAACAATGGCTGGGAAATCAATGTCTCTGGATCCAACTTCCCCCACTTCCAAAGCAGCCACTATTCATTCAGTGTTTACAGTGACAGGTGGGACTAACAACAGATTACAATTCACCCAAGACTCAATGCCAGAAGGCGTAGATAATCTTATGCTTAGAAGTATCTTGTCCTTGAGTATAATCCTAAGATGACTTAAGAAGGCATAGACGATCTTCTGCTTAGAAGAGTCAATGGGGACTTTTAGATGGGTGGTGCCAATCATCCCGATTCTTCCTTTAATCCCATAGGGAAATATGTAAAATTAGCCATTGTGAATTTGTGGTCTCCAACAAGAATTGTTTTGGCTATTGGGGATATTTGCGGTCTCATACAAATGCTTTTCCTGTATCTGCTGTGGTTTTAGTGAAAAATAATATTAGAATTTGTTATAGAGATTACATTGACTCTGTAGATCACTTTAAGTACTATGGACATTTTAAAAAGATTAATTCTTTGAGTACATAAATATGGGATATCTTTCCAATTTATGTTTTCTTCAGTTTCTTTCATCAGTGTTTTTTGCTTTTAGTATGCATGTAGATCGTTCACCTCTTCAATGAAATTTACAATTAAGTATTTTTGATAGTATAAGAAATAGGATTTTAAAAATTCTTTTTCAGATAGTTTCAGATAGTTCATTGTTAGTATGCTACTGATTTTGCTATGTTGGTTTCTCATCCTGCAGCTTCTTCTTGTGGTTTTATTGAGCATTTCCCTGATGTTTATCTGATGACTAGTGACAGAGACCGCTTTTTCAAGTGTTTGTTTGCTATCTTTAAATCTTCAGTGAAGTATCTGTTTAAATATTTTGTTTAGCTTCAATGGATTGTCTTCTTATTAACAAGCAGCAATCATTTTAAAGTATATAGTCTACATATAAATAGGTTGTTAAATATGTTTTGAAAATATGTCTACCAACACAATGGTATGTATTTTCATTCTTATAATGCATTTCTTTTGAAAAGCAAAAGCTCTTTACAAAATCCAATTTATTGCCTTTTTTCTTTTATATCAAACCCAAATCAGTAAAATTTGCTTATTTTTCTGTGTATATATAACCGACCCTTTCAGAAGTATATGTTGTGAAGATCATCCTTTTCCTCCAGAAATTGCCTCAGCACGTTCATAAAAATACAAGTCATCCTGTAGATGGGAGCTGGACTGTATTCAGTTCAGTTGATGTACATATTCATCTTGATGTCAACACCGCAGTGTCTTCACTACGCTAGCTTTGTAATAACTTTTGAAATTCGATTGTGTCCATTTTCCAAATTTATTCTTTTCAGTGTACAAATTTGCATGTTGTTTGTCAGTTTCACTCCCAAGCATCTCAAGTGTTTGACGCTATTATAAATGGAAGTGTTCCTATTATTCATCACTATTATGTGGAAATATGATTGATATACATGTTCATATATGATATATGTAATACATGATATATGATGTGATACTTTGGTTCACAAATTTAATTATTTCCCTAATTCTAGTCACAAACCAAGTTGAATGAGAACCAAATCAAATTTCCCCATTAGGTCAACGCTGAAAGTAGCCATTGAATTTGATTTGGTGCTCATCCAATTTGGTTGGCAACCATACTCATGAAAAGAATTAAGTTTATTGGGCTGGGTTTAGCTCATTGGCATAAGTGCCTGCTTGGCAAGCATGAGGTCATGAGTTCACTCCCCAGTACCAAAAAAAAAAAAAAAAAGGACTAGGGGTTTAGCTCAGCAGCACAAGTACCTGCTTGGCAAGTGTAAAGTCATGAGTTTGATCCCTGGTACAAAAAAAAAAAGAATTAAGTTTGTTAACTGAGGTTCCACTCTATGATATATATGTGATATATATGACATATATGATGTGTATGATATATATGATATGCATATGATACACATGTGTCAAATATATCATATGTTACATATAGAATACATATGCTATAGACAATATAAGATATGTATTATATAAAATAGACACATATATAGATGTATAAATGATATATCATTAATATGTGATGAACTGTATAATATACATGTGATTATATGGTACACATAATATAAATCATATATATGATATGCATAATATGTATATGATATATGTGACATGTATATGATATATATTACATACATGATATATAATATACTATATGTGATACATGTGGTATACATACTGTTTATATGATACATATGATGTGTGTATTATATATATAACATATATCATGCATCTTTGCTAAACTTGTTATTTCAAGCAGTTTTATGGTAAATTCCTCCACTTTTACATCAGCAGTATGTAGTATATTCCTTTCCAGTCTATGTCTTTTTATTTTCCTTGTTTTGAACCACTTTGAACCTTCAAGATAGTGTCGATTATAAGAAATAAGAAGGGAGATCCTTGGCTTCTTATTAATCAGGAAGCAAACAATCAGACTTTCATAATTGTTACATATTTAACATAATTATATCAGTTTCCTTTTTCTTTTTCCAGCATTATCATCTTAATTTTAAACTTTCCTTTGCCTTATGTTTTAGATGTTTTCTACATGCACTAATTATTGGAATTTTATAGTTTTGTTTTTTATGTTTTGGTTCCCTTCTTTTTGCCTTTAATCAGAGCATACAATCTATTTGCACTTAATGCAAGTAATGGTATATTTGGGGGCTATCTTCTATTTATTTGTCCTTTTAATTTTTCAATCTTTACACATTCTTTTTATCCTTTCCTTTTCTCTTCTATTGGTTTAGCAGTTGTATGTTCTATTTCCAGTCAGATTTCTTTAGATATTCTTACATGGATTTTTAACTTTCACGAGACTAAATTTAAATATTTTACTCCTTTTCCAATTCATATGTTATTATAGCCATAGATTTGAATTCCATCTTGTTTTTACATTATAGGTAACATTATTACATTTTTATACAGCAATGTGTACCTACCTGTCTTGGTTGCTTTTCTCTCATTGTTGAGGCAAAATACCCAACATCCAAAATAAGGAAGGAAAGGTTTATTTATCTCAGTCTGTGGAGGTTTCAGTTCATAATCGGCTGGCTCCAAGACAGGGTGGCATGGCAAGGGGCAACAGTTCAAGGTGGCAGAAGACGACAGCAAAAGCAGCAGAAGCCAAAGCCAGGAAAACAAGCCTGTTCTGTTTCCTTACATTGTAAACAGGCTACTGCTGCCCTCCCCGGCAACAGGGCAGGTGTAGCTGTAGCGCTCCCACCACCCCTATGCTCTCCTCCTGCAGAGGCTGAGAACATTTACAAAGTGTGGGCCTTGACTCCCTGCCGAGTTACATAGTTAAACTTCTAAACTTCCCAAGTTGATACAATGTGTCAACCATTACACTACCATATTTTTATCTTATTTTTAAAATCTGGGTCACCTATCCTGTATTTCTTTACTTCTGCTTTAGGTATATCCTTATCATATTTTTCAGTGAAACATGATTAAATACCAAATATTTGTTCATCTTAAATATCTTTATTTCACCTTCATTTTTTAATCTGCATGTTAGAGAAACATTTTTCTAGATACAGAATTCTAGGAAGACTGTTTTATTTAAGCACATTAAAAACACACACCTGTAATCCCAGCACTCCAGAGGTTGAGGAAAGAGGATCAATGCAAATTCAAGGCCAGCCTGGGCTGTATAATGAGATCCTGTCTTGAAAAAAACAAAAATAACAAAAAAGCACATTAACTAGTTCCATAATGTAGCTATTTTTAATGTTTATAATCTAAAATAATGTACATATGTGTAGGTTGAATTGCAAGCCCAAATTTGAATACCTTCAAGTGGCAACAATGATCAAGCTTAGAGACTAATACTGTTTTTTTACAAAAGGTAATGTAAAACTTTTTGATGCTGATCATAAGCAACAGCATTCTCACAAAGCTATTTGTATCATGCATAAAGAAAAGGATGATATACATAAAATACAGGCATAAATATTTTCCTAAATGTGTAACTACATTTATTTTTAGCTTAATGAACTCCACAGCCTTCAACTTTACCAAAACAGATTGTATAGTTTGTGTTACACTACATCCAGCACCTTATCTCATAAATACATTTTTACCACTATTTTTAGAGGCACACAATCTATTCTAATAAAAATGGATTGGCTGAACCAAGTTGAAGTGACCCTCTCTAAAGGATATAACACACAACTACCAAACAAAAATATAGGGCCATAAAGATTGTATTTATATTCTTTAAAAACACAGAGCTTAGAATGTTCTGTGTCTACTACCAGTATGCTCTATAAATGGCTTTTATTCGAGCAGGCAGCAACCTGGTGGGACGCTGAAGTGAAACATGTCCCAGTGGGAAAAAAATAGCAAGGACTTATGCAAAATACAGATGAGTATTTTTAAAAATTACTCACAGCCACAGCGGAAAATTTCAGACAAGTAATTCAATGTAGTCTCAAGTTTACAATGTGCTAACTGCAATCTAGCAAGAAATTTTTAAAAGTTCAGAGGGAAGGATAACAGAAAACGGAATAAAGTTAAAATTTCCTAAACCCAGGAGATAACTGAAAATAAAAATAATATTACAATTACAAAGCCAAATGAGGAGGGAGAAGAGAGAAATATAACAAAATAAAGGTATTAAAGGAGAAAACACCAAAAATGTTCAAACTTACGTAGATATAATTATTTTTATGAAATAGAAAAGAAATATGAGATGATGGTAAGAATATAATTGTTTTTACTTAAAGATTTAAATGTCTTGAAAGTTTATATTGTGCCCTAGGAAAATTTGATTTACAACAATATCACCACGTATCTTAATGAAGTCTTTTTATGTACCTGGATGTGGAAATCCAAATACTACTAAAGTTGGGTCCCCTGTGCCCAATTTTTCTGCTTTTCATGAACTTTAATTTTCTTTTTCAGTCAATGATTTTTTATTCACGTGTCAATTATGCAGGAGTAGAGGACTACTTCAGCTTTCAGTAAGTATGATTTTAAAAAGAACTTATACTCTTCAGGTTATTAATGTATTAGTATTTTTCTTTTAATGCCTTCATTACCCTTTAAATTTCCAAATTTAAAATGGAGATTGATGTGAAGTTATTTAACTGTACAAAAATGTGAAATACTCCTTTTAGTTCAATAGAAAATGATCCAGCTGGAGGCTGTCATTCACCCTAATGAAAATGCAAACAAAGAGCTTACACTAGTCACCTGTCCATTTACAACAAATAGCTGAGGCCATTGGCTTATAACAGGAGAAAGTTGATTTGGGCTGCTTGTTTTGGAGCTTCAAGTTCATGACTGAGTGGCCCTGAAGCTTTGGGGACTCTGGCAAGGAAGCACAGCTTGGCAGGAGTTTATGGTAGAGTAAATCTCTCAACAGCAAAAAGAAAGAGACTGGTCTTTCTAAACCCCTTTGCAAGTTCACCTCCATAACCTGGAGACCTCTCCTAAAGGTCCCGCGGCTCCCAGTAGCACCATCCTTGGAACCAAGCTTTACACACATAGTCCTTTGGGGATACCTACTCAAAACAAAGCAAGGCTATTTCCTAACTCAATAGTCTTCACCCACCTTTTATCATTATTTCCCATCTCAATGTCTACATTCTACCCTTAAGCAAAAACAAAAACTCTAATGAGTTAGTCAGCTTTCCATTGCTGGGATGAATATCCCTGAGCTGAACACAAAGGAGAAATGGTTGGCTTTGGTTCTAAGGTTTTGGTCTGCAATCATTTAATTCCATTGTTTTAGGGACTGTGGTGAGAAAATACTTCAGAGCTGAAGGGTGTGAAAAATAAAAGCTGCTCAATTCACGCAGCCAGGATGGAGAGAGAGATAGGGTGAGGGGGTGTGGACAGAAAGAGAGAGAGAGAGAGAGAAAGTACAGTCCCCAAGAGCATGCTCCTGAGGACTCACTTCCTTCAACTTGGTCCCAACTTCAAAGTTTCCATCACTTTCAAATCATTTCAAAGTTTCCATCACTGATCAAATTATAACCTATCAACAGATTAATCCATTGATGAGGTCAGAGACTTCATGATTCAAACACTGCTGCATGAGGACCAGTCCTTCAACATATGAGTCTATGGGTTACAGTTGAGATCCGAAGTATAGTATGTAGCATCATGGAAAGTCTTTATGAGTAAAGTCAGATAAAACACTACTCTTCACTGTAGGACAAGGTAGTCCCAAGGCACTTTATTTCTGGAGAAAAACAACCAACCTGGAATTCTGTGTACTGATCAGCTTTTCATTACTACAACAAAGTACCTGATACAGGCTACTTTTGAAGAAGAGGAGGTTTTTAGCTCACAGTTTTGGAATTTGAATGTCTAGATAGCAGAACACAGACTTGGTGAGGTCTGCACCACCTCACAGCAGAGAGCAAAAGTAGACGAATGAGTAGAACCAAGTAGATTACGTCTGAAGCTAGGAGCAGAGCAATCTGGGTGGGCCAGGCTTGCTCCTTTAATGAGAACCCTCTCTCACGCCCTCCCGACCTGAGGGCCTCCCACAAGGCCCACCCATTAGAGGCTCAGCAGTGTTCCACTGTTACCATCCCATCAACCAAACCTTGAATTACATGAACCTCCGGGGAGTGGGAACACACTGAAACCACTTCCAAAGCATAGCTCCATATGAAGGCATTTTAAGATTATCACTATGAGCTCACAATATGGTTCAGAAAAACAGCTTTTTTGTGTAGGGAAATAAACCTAGTTTTGTTTAGTATGCTACTGCTCCAAGTGCATTTGAGTACCCACTATGTACAGAGCACTCTCTGGAAATTCAAAATAACAAGAAAAGAGTATGGATGAGAAAGATGACACACTGCTGTCATGGAACATGGCTGCAGTGGGAGATGGCAAGTAAGCAAATCACTGAGACAACTCCAAATGCTGAAAAGAAGGGAAAACTAATGCAGGACGAGAGTGACTAAGAAGAGTAAGAAAAAGCGACCCTGCAGGGCAGCCCGAGGGGCGCAAGTCCCGTGCGCCCGGCTGGCTTTTTTCCTTATCCTTCTGCTAATCTGAGTTCCTTTGCATATTTTGGGTTTTTTTAGGTATTTACTGCAAATTATGTTTCTGTTGAATGCCTAGAATATTTTGGGTGGGTTTTTTTTCTTTCAAAAAGTAGTGAATCAAGCTTTCAAAACGTCTGTTGTTTTGAGCCCCTCTCATTTTGAACACAGAATTATTCACGTGCACTGAATGGGGAAGAAAGATGCTCCATCTGACCTCCCTTTGCATTCCAGTGAAATACGATGCAGCTTAGTGGAATCCAGAAATATAATTTCTCCTCATACGTCCAGAGGTGGTGCACAGGAAAAGAAATCAATGGGGCTGGAGTTAGAACACTGGCCACAACCTTGTACTACCATCCAGACCAGGCAGGTCAAGGTGTGCACGTAGAACTTGAATGTCCAGGAGATAAATGAACTAGGAAGAGGGAGGTTTTATGTGCTAAAATGATGCTCTTCCTGTTTTCCACTGTACCAATGACATGATGGCCCAAAGGGACACTTCACAATGTGACAGTAGTGCAGAACTGCTTTCACACCAGCAGCCAGCTGTTACCATGGGAGCCACTTGCCAGCCCTCTGCAATTCCTCATGGCTTCAATCATGTCATGAACATGGAACTTTACATTTGGTAAACAGATGGTCATGTGTACCACTGTCGTCATTGTAGAATAACCTATGTGAATTGTTTTTCCTAGATACAAGAACATGGGTAATGTATTTGTGCAACTTCGGCCCAGTCAGCATGAGAATGTATGTCCAGTGACCCAGAAGGTAAGTGGCATGGGCAGTGCCAAACTGAGTAATACAGTGCTCCTTTCCTCTACCTAGTGATATCTCTCCATCAAGACAGAATTATTTTATTTTGAAAGCAGAAAATAGAATTTCTGTTTTCTGTAAGTTTATCACCTAAAGTAGAATGTATAACCACATACAAAAATATAAAAAGCATTAAATTTTGAAAGTTTGAAGATAAATCAAACTGTGTAAAGGAAAACTGAAATTAGTTTGGTACAAAATTTGGTGTGGTTTGTTAAAGAACTGCCAATCATGTCCCTATCTAGCCTATATTTATTCAGTCAAACGGGTTCGATCATTTATTCATTTAAAAATGTACAAGATGCCTATTACATTTTGGTGTGTGCTAGGTAATGGGAGTTACAAAGATGCGAAGGTCCCTAGAGCCAAACACAAGTCAGCTTAAAGGAATGTGGTGCACACAGTTACCCAATAGTCCAGGGGAAAGTGAGCACAGCTTACAGTAGGAGGCAAAAAGTGAAAAGAAAGTGATACAGGGAATGTTGCAGGCCATGCAAGGAAATTTCAAGAAAAGGTACAGACAAAAGTGAAAAGAAGTGGAGTAGATGGTGTGTTCAGGATCTCTTAAGTATCATGAAATTAAACACAAACTCTTAGCAACCCCACCCATCTTGCGTCTGTGAAGCGCGTGAAGGGATGCCTCTCCTCCTTACTCCTCCTTGCCCTAACTGAAGCAGGAAGCAGATGCTGAGCCCTCAACCAGGCATTGTGCTATATGTAGGGAATACAAAGCGAAGTAGGAGCCGAGCACAGGAAACCTGTTCCTACCAGGGCGCGGTGCCACGGGTTTAGAAGGAGCTTTAAACAGACTCGGCTGTGATCCACCCTTGAGCACGGGTGGCACATGCTGCTTCCCTGTGTACCTCTGCCGACCACATGACCAACCCAGCCTCACCTGCTTAGGCAGCAGGACTTTGCAAGTCCTGTCCCAGTCCAGGTCTGTGCTTCCAGCCTTCAGCTGCTTGACCTATTCATTTGTGAAAGCCTTCCTGAGGCACCATGATTACCCTCAACCTCTTCTGACCCATAGGTTTATCAGGGTTCCCGTGCTGCCCAGCCCAGGCATCACATGGGTGGGTTTATCTAAACTGAGTGCAGATCCCAGCTCTACCACTCACTGCTTGGGCAAAACCCCTCAATTCTCAGGCCCGCTGCCTCATTTACAAGAAGAAAAAATGTAACATCTACCTCATGGGACTATTGAGAGTATTAAAGGAGATCATTTATGAAAAATATCCAAAACGGTGCGTGTCACAGGGTGATTACATAATGTTACTGTTTTTCTCCTCTTTCCTCTTTAGAACGCCTTAGACAAGGACAGTTTAAGTCTAATCCCCTGTGGGCCCACTCCTATTGGCACTGAGATGCCCACTGAAATCAAATAGAGAAATGTGCAAAGAGCCCTTTGAGGCAATAGGGAAATGTGGTTAGTAGAGGCAGATCTTCCCATTAGCCAACAAAAGCAAAATCTGTACACAGCTACAGAGTACGCTGTTAGCCACAGGTCCTTTCTTTGCACTCCCACACTCCAAAGCAAATGAGTCGTCAGCCTCTAAGGTAAACAGTAGAGACACAGGTCCTAACTCTGTTCCTATGCAGAACCATGACCCACTGCCTTCATCAGCTGTATGAATTTAGGCCCTGGTTAAAGCTGCTAGGAGCCTGCTGTCCTTGTTACTTGGTGTATATGACTTCCAGCAGAGCAGCAAATAGAACCAGCAACTCCAGCAAAGCTATGTCTCTCTTTTTAACCACACACCAGGAATAGAAAATATAGAAGTATATGCCAGTCCCAGAGGCCTTAGTGATTCTTTCCAAGACGAGTTTCTCCGGGGAGGGATAACTACAATTCTATCAACATTTCTGAGGTGAGAGCCATTGCAATTTTTGTCTTGCCCAGAATAGCAAAAGTAATGCTGGTCAACAAGAGGAAAGCAGGAGGCATTACAGTCCTGGATTTCAAGTTTTATCATAAAGGTACAGTGACAAAACCAGCATGGAACTAGCACAGGAAACAGATACGTGGACCAATGGAACCGAGCTGGAAACGGAGAAACAACCCCAGCCACCTTCAACCAATGATCTTTGACAAAAGGGCCAAAAGCACAGGCTGGAGAAAAGATAGCCTCTTTAACAAGCAGCGCTGTGGAGACTGCTTATCTCCATGTACAAGAATGGAACTGGACTCATATCTTTAATCAGAGGCCCACTAAAAGGGACAGAGTAGAGACTGTCAGCAAAATACAGCTTCTCAGGGACCTGGAATCAAAACACCAGAAAAACAACAACTTGGTGAAGAGAAAAAAAGAAATAGATCTCCAGGAACCTAGAGAAAGTAGACAGGAAAACTAGAAATGTAAAGAGGCTGGAGAAGTAGAGAATAACACAGACAAAAGAACAAGGCAGCCTGAATGGCTCACCTGGCTCCTTGTAGGAAGACCTGCCTCCGCAGACAAGGTAATTCCAGAGAGAAACTGGAGCTCCAGAGGAAACAGCAGACTAAGCCAGCAGCGTTGGCCCCAAGAAAGCCCGCAGCTATTGAAAATTGCATAAATAGCATGGGTTTTACTCTAGAAGCGACTCCTTCCACATGGCAGGCTAGATTAGAGAAGAAACCCAGTGTAGCACCCTATTTGAGAGGTTTTCATCAGGATTCATTGGGGGAAGGAGTTCATTGTTTAAGGCTATAGTACAGAGCAATAACAACTACTTCATGGTTTCTGACGTGCCCCTACTATTGAGTGGGAAATGGCACAAGAAACAGTCAGGGATAGGGCACGGGCTAGACATAGATACCACCACACACACACACACACACACACACACACACACACACACACACATTGAAAAGTTTAAGCTCAGGCCAGGAAAGGCATGGAGACCCTATCCTCTGTGGTGAGAAGCCAGGATGGGTGTTTGTGGCTCTCAGGATGGGGTGGTTCTGAAAGTGCTGTCATCAAGTCCAGTGGTTTGCCTCAACCCCTACCGTGGGGCCTACATCCAGCACAGAGCTCAGGGATCTCTTTGCTTTTATCATCCACCAACACAGGCAGAGATACGCTCCAGCCTGGACAGTTGCCACAGCTTGGGGTTTAAGGACAGAGGGGCCTCTGGAGCAGGATGGGGGAACCTCACAAACCCACAGGCCCTAAAGTTGGGTGAAGAAAACCTTGTCTTGGTGTGCACAGAGGGACGCAGAAACTGGGAGCTGCCAAAGTGACTACAGCCTTACGGAGGACACCTTTGACTGGCTGTGCCCAGTGAGAAAGGCAGGGCAAGATTCAGCATTCATACACAAAAATGTGGGTGTGGTAACAAAGTAGCTCTTAGCAGTGACTCACTATCCCTCTCCCATCTCTAGTGGGTTCCAATACTGCAGATCCTAATCACTCCTTCAAAAACAACTTTCATTTTTTTGAGGTAGAGTTTCGCAATATGATTCAGTCCAAACTAGCCTTGAATCCACAGCAATCCCCTTGCCTCAGCCTTCTGAGTATTGTGTGTCTTAATTACTTTTCTCATTGCTAAGACAAAATACCTAACACCCAAGGTAAGGGCGTAAGGATTTATTCAGATCACAGTTTGTGGAGGTTTCAGCCCGTTGTTATTATCAGCCCAAGGCAGAGTTGCTTGGCAGAGGAGCCTCCCAGAAGGAGAAAGTTTGTCCAGAAGACAGCAAAAGCGAGCAAGCAGAGTGAGACAAGTCGCTTTCTGTCCCTTACATTTTATCCAGTCTACTGAGATTAGGGCGATGCCAATTCAGTCAGCGAACTGATCCAGCAGTCACCCACCCTTAATCAGCACCCTTATCCCAGCACTGTGCTGTGGGAGAATAAACTACTCGAGATTCAGCCACTTCGTAAAAATACCCTATGACTGCATGACACTCTGGGGGTACATCTAGACACAAACCACTGCACGGGGTTACAAGTGTGTATTCCACCATGTCTGGTTTATTCTTTTTGCCTCATTTAATTTTTTTTTCTTCGTGGATAGGGATAGAGAGGCTCTTTATTTTTTTCTTTCTTTGTTTTTACTGGTTTTTTATCTTCTTCTTCCTTATTCTTTTCAGTTAATTTTATCTAATTATATTAATTCTTCCTTCTCCTTAATAGGGTCTTGTGTCTCACTTTTCTCTCTTTTTTCTCGTCTTCCATTTTTCAAATGTTTTATTCTCCTGTTCCCCCCACCTCCTTTACTAGTATAACCACTAAGCTTTATTAATCCTTAGATATTTATTTATTCTATGCTATTATTGTTAGATTCTTTTCTATTGTTTATGGTGCTATAGTTGTTGCAGTAGTAGGTATTTATGTCAATATTTGGTTTGTTTCTGTGTTTGTATTACAACTATATATCTCTAGTGTACAGTTAAGAGTAACAGTGGTAGCTTTTATTTTCTTCTAGTCTGTCATATCCAGTTTGTCTTTGATTCTATTATTGTTGCTAAAAGAAGGTGGCAAGGCATATTTATTGCTATTAATTGGTTTTTACTTTAGCCAGTATCTGACTTCTCTTTGTGTTATCAACAAAACTGCAATTTGTTTCTGGAGAACTGGATGCTGGGCCAATTACACTATACCCTTCACTCCCAAAGCAATGGAGATTGGATCTTGAGATAGAGGCAAAGGCCCATGTTTAGCCATACATAGAGTACATCAGTGCAGAATAGACATTAATTAAAAGGATCTCCATACTAGCAGCAAAATCTTTCTACTAAAATCAATCCATAAGTCTCAGCATGTGGGCGCGCGCATGTGCGCGCGCGCACGCACGCACACACACACACACACACACACACACACACACACACACGGAACATGAGAAGACAAGGCAACAAAATACCTCCAAAAACTCCCAACTCCTCCAAAGCTCATCAATTGGAAGGAAAAAAAAAAACCCAAACAGTTGAACTATGTGAAATGATAAAAAAGGAGAATAAAATAGATCAATACAGTGCTTGGCAAGCTCAAGGAAAATATAACTGAACAGATAATGGAGTTAATAAAATGATCAGTCGACTTATAGAAGACACTAATAAAAAGCTAGCTGAGCTAAATAGATTAATATAAACCATGACCAACCAGCTTAGCAAAGAATTAGAGCCTATGGAAAGTACCAAACAGAAATCCAGGAAATTAAAAATTCTATTGAAAAAATCTGTTGGAAAATTGTATTGAAGTATGCAAAAAGTATAGCAGAATCCTACATTTAAAAAGTTACAGCTTGGGCCTCCATGCCTCAAAAATTGCAAATCTGAAATCTCCAAATGCCAAAACATTTTGAACACCAATGCAACACTACAAATGGAAAATTCCATGTGACCTTATATAATGAGTTACAGTCAAAATGCAGGTACACTAAAAATATTTTATAGAAATATCTATAAAATATATAGCAGTGTTTATATATTATGTATGAAGCAAATTAATTTTGTGGTTAGACTTGAATCCCATCTCTAAGGCACTTCACATTCATACAAATATTTCAAACCCCATAAAATCAGAAATCTGAAATATTCTGGTGCCAACTATTTCAGATAAGGAATACTCTACATTCCAAGTTTCAAATATTATTCTGTTAGTTGTAGTAATATCTTAGATCATTTGATCAGATGAACTGAACTTACTGACTAAATTACTTCATTTTTAGGTATTTCAAATTGGTGTTGGCTGCGACCCTCAAAAGTTTATTGCAGTTAAAGGGCAAGTATATCTCCATTTGATCTCTTATTCTTGTGAAACAAATGGTACACTAAACAGTTATTGCTAGTGATGATATTAGCCTAATAACTGATATATCTATGATGAAATCCAAAATTGAATTGACATCAGTGTCCAGTTTCAGTTGGTTTGAACTTATTGCCAAATCAAATACCACATTTAAATCCTACTGAAAATGAAAAGAATTGGTCTAGATTTCAGCATCTCTTCATTCTTTTTCCCTCTAGCTTCTATTTCATCAATTCTTCTCTCCGCTCTTCAGTCCACAGCACATTCTTAGAGAAACAAGAGAAAGAAACCATTATCTCTGATTGCCTTCACACGCAGTCATCATTTTCATTAGAAAATTCCTTGCGCCCACACCAGGAAAGCTCAGCTTCCTGCACCTCATTTTCTATGAGAAAGTTGCCAGAGCCACCCTAACAGAACAAGAAGTGGTACCTTCAAAAACTCCAAAGTGTGAATTTTGTTGGCCTGCTTATTGTTCTCAGTGAGGCGCTTGGGTCTTTGGCTGGCTACAGCTCTCATCCCTGCATGTGGCAGAAAATCAATGTGAGCACAAAACTCTGACTGAGGTCAACATATAGGCAGCCATTGTGATTCCTTTCCTTGGGTTAGGAGCGGGATGGCAGGAGCAGAAAAGTGACATGTCATCATTTAGGAAATAACTTGCTCTCCCCCATAACACATGTCTACTCTTCCATTATTCTACTAATTTTCTGATTAGTAGAGTTACAGTGATCACTTGCTTGGGTTGATAATTAAGTATTGCCATCGTGGGCAGGGGCTAGAGGTAAGTGGCACAAGGTCCTGAGTTTGATTCCTAGTACCAATAAGTCAATAAATAAATAGTGCATTTCCTGAATGTGAATTTCCTTTTATCTTTGCACCCACAATCCCTTTTTCCAGGAAACACAACATGGCTGAGTTGTGCAACCTGCTCCCTCCTTGCTTCCGTGTTGGTGCTCTGAGGAGCAAAGCCCTGAGAATTTTTTAGAAATGGAGGAGCTCACACCTCATTCAGACTGACAATCTTCTTTGAACAATATTTCCAGGAAATTAGTAGGTGAATTAAAATTTAAGAATGACTACTGTAAGCAACAGGTTACTAAAATCGATTTCTAGTTCTATCATGCATAGAAGTCCCCCTCAGGCCCCTGATTTCCATCAACATGCTAAGCAGTGAAACAAGTGTTCTACTACTGAGATATGTCCCCAGCCTTTTTTATTTTACTTTGAGATAAATCTTTGCTAAGTTGCCAAGGTTGGACTTAAATTTGCAATCTCCTGCCTGTGCTTCCCAAGGATCTGGAATTATAGTGTACACCACCATGCCTGGCTTAAGTAACAGGGTTTTGTTTTTTTTTTACTACAACCCACACAGCTCTCAAACTTCCCAGGGTGAAAGCCCTGTAGAGCTGCAAGAAAGTGAAGAATAAAGATAAGACACAGAAATCTGAAATCAGGTGGAGCCTTCTTTCCTGATGGGAGGGAGGAAAGGAACTGCTCAATCACCATGACATGTTTATTTATACACTCAGGAGGATGATGTCAGTGTCAGCCCCTCTGCCTAGCAACCTGTTTGTCTGGCTGACCAGGGCCCCTTGCCTTGTTGGAGCTGGAGCATCTTGTTTATGTGACTCACTTTGGGCTCTCCGTATTTTCTGGGTTGGCCTTGCATTAGCCTCCCATGTGTGATCCGTCTCCAGCTTCAGCAGCTCCCTACATCTCCCCCTTTTCCCTATAGTTGCAAGCAATTAGGGAGTCTGCTGAAGATGGAGAAGTTGTGTTTGGGGACTCTGTAGCAGACGTTTTCATTTTGAGTGAACTTACTTGGTTAAGCTAAGGATTTTATAGTCCAAGGACTTTCAGTCCCTGCATTCTGAAGTTTAACCCTGCATAGTCCATTAATCCATAACAATAGGCAGTTACCAGTGTTGCTGGAAATTGTCAGAAGATGTTAGTGATTTCAGTTTCTTTTATAGCTAGCATATTACATAGTATTGTTTTTACCTCTTGTAGTTACACTTTTCTGCAGGATGTTTAAGACCAAGTTAAGGTGAGACCTGTATTAATTACAATCAATCTCTTGCTGTCTGTTAAGGTCACTTAAGTTTCCTCAGGAATTGCCTTGGGACTATGTACAGTATCTCTCGGTATATCTGTCAGTGTCAGCCATATGGACAAAGAGTCATGGCCATCGCCTGACCAAGTTGTATTCTATGAAAGCTTGGGAGAATTTGTCTCTCTTGGTGACTCTCCTTAGGCACACTACATATCTTTGAATACTTTCCTCTGTGGTCTCACAATCTCCTTGATCAGAAGACCAGGAATCCACTGAGTTATAGGATGTCACAGCAGAAGTCTTTTATGTCCTGGGTCCTCATTGACTTCAAAGGGCTGAGGCTAAAATATTGGGTATCCTCTTAGCAAATCTATCTTTCTAATTTTTCGGTCTCCAAACCTCAGTTGTTGAACATCCAGAAGAAAAGGCTAACAACATTACATTGAGGGTAGTAAACTCAGTATTACTGTTTTATCTAAATATCAAAGACCTTGGAACATAAAATAAAAACATTATTTTCCAACAAGCAAGGCTATTCTAGTATTTGAATCCCTACAGAATGTTAATAGTTATATATTTTACACAGAAAATTAGAAATCGAAAGTCATACATAATATTTCAGCATGACAATCATGATAACACTTTGTAACATAGTATTTTGACATAGTATAACTTTTAAAATCAAACATCTCTATGTAATACGTAACAAAATTCAACTTAACTTGTCCTTAAATGGGATGTTCCTCACATAAGTTTTGTTAAAGGCAAATATCCAAATCTGAAAGAAAAGTCTATTACTATAAACAATCCTCATTCCACTCTTTGAAAGATCCACACATCTGCAGGCATGAATACATTTAATACACGACAAAAACCAGCAACGATCTATTGTCATGGCCACATGAAAACTTCTGTACCAGAACATCTTTAAATCAAAAACTTTATTGTCTGGAAAACTGAATTCTTTTGATGATGACCAATATACAGCAATAATATATTTTTAATAGCAGTTATTGAGGTATTACCCATAAGATTGTGGCAATTACTGGGGCTTCCCATTAATGAACAAGAACTGACTGAAGTTATTCCAGGCAACTGTTTTCTTATTCATCAATTAGAGTCCTGTACAACAATCTCCCCCACTCTAAAGGATTTTTGTTTAATATCTTAACAAAATCTTGATGACTTATGAAAACCCAGTTTTGATATCATTTTTGCCATCTGGCAACCTAGGTGGAAGCATGCTTTTTAAATATACAACCAAAATTAAACTATGAACAAATGATCCAAAAATGCAAAAGAAAAGAGAAAAATTGTTGAGCTCAGATTAAAAAACAGCTGTTAACTTATTGGACAAATGGACAAACAAACAAGAACACAACAGACTGGACAACCAGATACGTAGGCAAACTGACAAACATCTTAGTGCACTCAAATATATTTTTGACCAAATTTAATTATAACAATTGACTTACAATTTTAGAAGTTTGCACTTATAAATAGACTAGTCAGAATTATTTGTAGATCAATTAGCAGAGATGTCGTATAGGAAGAATTTGGAGGAAGTAAAATTTTTTATCTATAACGTATAATTTTTGTATTTTGTTTTGTCTTAAGAATATTGATAACTTTGTGTCCCCTTCTTTCATGTAACTTTTAGCTCAGTTATCTCCAAGCACTCTACCACCTTCTCAGACCTTTGATTTCCATTTTTGGTTACCATCTCCTGGATGTTCTGAGTAATTCCTTCAATTGGCTCCAGGTCAGTTTCAGTCCCGTCCTTGTCTGTCAGCTGTAGGGCAGTCTCTGAGACATCACTGTCGTAGCACTGAACATCAGCTTCTTAAAAGGTAGAACCAACTCCTCCAGGCCTGGGTCCATGACACAGCCAGACAGCATGCTTTGGTACCCAGATAGGCTATTCAGAATTCTCTGGAAACACACACGCCTACCCTCAATCCCAAGTTAGCACTGGGTTCAGTCTCTTCCATTGTCTACTGTGAAGACCTTTCGAAAGGACCATTCCTAGCCTTTTTCCTTTACTTGATTGAATTATTTTCCTGCTGATGTAGTCCCATCCCTAGTTGGATTTTAAAAATTAATAGTATATATTACCCAGAGAGGTCTATTGTAAGGTATAAATTTTGTAGGTAAAACCCCCTTTTGTTTTTGTTATTGAATTTTGAGCAAGTTTAACCATTTTTAGCCTGTACTATGCATGAGGAACATTATTTAACATTTGTCAAGCCTGTTCCTGAGTTAAATGGAAATATTTGTGTAAGGCAGAAGCATGTTGATGGTAGGTGGCTGGGAAACAGAAGCCTGTTGAACAGTGTTTGAGGGAGTAACAGTTCATGGCAGTGGAAGACATCAAAGGTACCAAGAGCAAAGGAGGGGAAGTGGAAGCCTCCTTTCGTTTCTACCTTGTAAGCTGGCTGCCCCTAGGGTGGGTGCAACATGCACACCATTTCCATGGTCCCCTCCAGCACAGGATAAGGATGTTTACAAAGTGAGGCCCCTCAGGTGTCCCAGGAGTCACTCAACCCAGCTTCTAACCTTCAAGTTGACACAGTGTATCAACTATTCCAATCCACCACTGTCAACTTGATAACCAGACACATTTAGTTTTTTAAATAAGTCTCCAGATACAAACACATGCTTATTTTTATCATTTTGCAACTTGAATATCACATTTAACAATCCTTAAGAACCAGCATTAAGTCTACCAACATTATATTACATTAGAACTGTAGTATTTCACCCTTGCAGCTAACACTGTTTCTCCCACCTCCCTTCTCCAGACCAAACTCCAGGATTAGCTGAGTTCTTTGAGGCCTGCGAGAAGTTGTGAGCAAGCAGAAACAGTAGTTTCCCCCTGTTAAACAACCCTTTAAAAGTCTGTAGCAGTCCTGATAGATTTGTGCTGGTTTGCTTCTTCCCTAACCCTGCTCTAAGCTGCTTTGCCTCCTCTTTCCAAATATGTGAATTTACAATTCCTTCTTCTAGAAACAAACAAACTCAGGAAATTTAGCAAGCTGTGCAGTCTTAATAGGCATGCAGTCATCAAGGCATTCCCTGATGCAAATCCACAAAAGTAAAGTGAATACAGAAATCAAGGATACAACAAGCATTTCTATATACATTTGTGGTTCTCGAGAGCCTGTTCATCCCATGCTTTACACCCGATACAGGCTCAGTATTGATGATTCCAATGGGCTCAATACTGAGGACATCGATACACCTCTCTCCTTTGTGTCTGCACAGTATAGGTGTCCTCTCCTGCTAAGTGATGAATTTTGTCATGCCTCGGGTCTCTGTTTGGGCACCATTCTGTCATGACCTATGCAGCTCTTGAACTTCTCAGGGTGAGGACTGTGAAGGACAGTGAGCAGGTGAAGAAATAAAGACAAGACACAGAAAGTTTGGATCAGGTGGAGCCCTCTCTCTTACTGGGAGGAAAAGAACTGCTCAGTCACTGTAGTGCCTGTATTCATACACTCAGGAGGGCCATGCCAATTTCAACCCTTCTGCCTTCCAGCTTGTTTGTCTGGCTGGCCTGGGCCCTTTGTCTTCTTGGAGCTGGAGTAGCTAGTTTGTGTGGCTCACTTTGGGCTCTCCGTGTTTTTAGGCTGGCCTTGCTTTAGCCCCACACATGTGATCGATCTCCAACTTTAACCACTCCCTACATTTTTTATTTTAAAAAGGATAAAACCAAGGAAAATATAAAACAATCAAAAATAAACCAGTATAAATGATACAGGACTTCAACACCTTAGGAAACCAACAATAGTTACCATAATGCTTTTTGTCATCTTCAGAATAGTTGTAGATACTTTTGGACATAGTAAACATTGAACAGAACAGAACAAAATAGAAACACTAAAGCCAAAACAGTGAATGCAATACAGGACTTCAAAACAAACCAATATTAAATCCAAAGTGGCTACCATAATATATTTTACTATCTTCCAAATAGCTGCTCCTGCCATCAGATTTAACATAATCAAGCAAAACAAAAGAGAATAAAACTCAACCCAACAAAACAATGAAAATGAAATGGTTTCCTGGCCAGGATCACTTCCTGGCAAGACCTGGATCTCTCCCCACCTGCAGCCCAGAATGGCGCCCACTCACTGAGAGAGGCTTGGGTATGGCTGTCCCCTCTCCAGCAGCAGCTGATGCATGGCATTACTTTCCAGACAGGGATCACCTTCTGGGAGGTCTCTCTCCCTGAAGTCCACGAATACCCCTACATCTTTTGGATTGTGATAAAATCTGCTTAATATTTAAAATTTGCCATTTAGCTTTTTTTAAATGTACAGCTTCACTAGAATTAGGTCTTGCATGATGTTCTACACTTAGCATCACTACCCAGTTCCAAAATTCTTTCATTACTCCAAAAGGTTAACTTCCAATTTCTCTACAGACATGCACCCCCACACTTGGCTTTCTTTAATTTTTTAATAAATGCGAACAAAATATAAGAGACACATAAACAAGTTTCTAGTTTTTAGTTTTTTTATTCAACATGTATTAAATAATACTCTTAAGATGAACCTGTTTGGAAAATCAAATCCTAGATATTAAAGAAAGAATTTTTATAAATTATATCAATGCATTTCAAAGTCCAGTGTCTTCAGAAACATTTGTAAAATTGATTTTACAACAGTAGAAATGTTTGGGCTACAAAATAATCCCAAAGATTCTAATTTAGTAAATAATGATTCTGTGACACTCTCCAGTTTGAGAATCATGAACTAAATGATTAAATGTTTGTGCAAATATATAAGAAATGATGCTACAATGTCATTGTTTTATTTTTCTAGATTTAGTAAAACAGCATGTGTTCACCACGAATTTTTTTACGAGATTGACAAGTAAGAAATCTTTTTTAAGATAAGCACTGAGCTTTATACTAATGTAGCAATATTAATAGTAATTTACAATCAGTAGTTAGTCATTGAGTTTCTATTGGTGTCTATATGTACAGCTTAACACTGTGAGGCTGGTTTTAAAATTAAGCAAAACGTACAGAACCTATAATTACCATTCTCTGAAACATACAAGAGAAAGACCTAATCACTGTCTTCTTCTTCAATGAAATTGGATTTTAAAAGTAAGCCTTATTTAGTCTCAAATTCTATATTGTTCCCTTTAGTGTAAGGAAGACATACAAGTATATGGTTTTTCCTATATCATTTTTCTTTAATTCTACATTAACGTTGTTACAATTTTTGGATTTGCCAGGAAAGTCCTGACATCAACTATTCTACTAACTAAACTTTTATGCTCTATTTTGTATTTCATTTTATGCAAATTTTAATAATATGATTTATTGACAATACAACTAAGCAAAATCCAACTTTCACCTTTGTAAGAGAAAAAAATCAATATTAAAAAATGTTAAATATTTAGTGAGTTGTCCAAAGTACAGAAATTTAGTTTCTGATGTATTTATCAGTTTCTTTTAAAAAGCTGTAGAATTTTCTAACTCTATTCAGTTGAAATAAGTCAATGTCTAACCACCAGGCATGTCCCCCAAAGAGCTGAGATTGAACGGTAAGGCAGGATAGAGAAAGGCATTGCCTAGATGCAATGCTTAGTGAAGTCAGTGGGTGAAATGGAAGGGGTGCACAAGAAATGTTTAAGGATGAGGTCACTATCTTCCACATCAATATAGCAGCCAGCCCTACATGAAGTTCTTGAATTTCCTGAATCCCTCCTTGGAGCATAGTTGAGACATATGGGATATGAAGCTGGTGATGTGAGTCAAGTTGGAGAACTGATAAGAAATATGTGAGAAAGAGAGAGAGGTTTTGAAGGGAAAACCTGTGAATTCATAAAGAGAAAGGATTCCATGATAGTGAGAAATCTAAATCAGAAAATAACTGAAATTTTAAAGCACACGTCTATTGTTACTGATTCTAAACATTTCGTTTTTTCATCTATTAATAGTCTGAGAAGAACTACTTTAAAATAGCCCTACATTTGAAAAGGAATTTGGGCTTTATAATCATGCATCTTTCATAGGAGTGTAGCAAGGTTTGCTACCTTGCAAAATCCCATATGATTTCTGAGACTGATGCTGTATTGTCTTGGTGGAAGACAGTCATTTGTACCTTTTTGTTATTGTAAGGATGTTTTAATATGTGTAGAAGTATATGGGAAAATGCCTGAAATGTAGTAAGTACTCAGTAGTTAATAATCCCATTCATGCATTTGGCATTTCTTATACCTCCTTAAACAAAGTCTTGGTCTTAGTTTTTAAGTTTGAAAAGAAGAAAAAATAAGTAATGAAGGATATCTTTTTTATAGGTTATATTTGAGACATCGACCACCTCAAAACCTGGTAAGAAAATTGAAATTTTTGTCAGTGACCCAAATATATATATATATATAAAATAACCAAAAAATGCTTTTCTTTTTCCAGAAAGTAAGGTATGACTGGGAAAAATATGGCTGCCCACTGAGACTTAATGGCCATGAAAGGTTTCAACCTTTGCTCCAACTGTAAGTATGTTCTGGTTAAAATTCTAACTCACTTTAGAAATTTCATGATTAAAGCATAAAAACAAGACTACTCATGCATTTAATAATAAGTATTTTTGAGGGCTCAGACTGTGCAGGTAATAGTTACGCAAAGTTGGGCGAACATGGTCTCTGCATGTTGAATGCGTATGAACAGATAAGAGAACCAGGAGCCTTTTCAGAAGTGCGGGCAGCTCTAATTTTATCCTCCTTAAATATCTCCCCAGACTACAGAACCCCAGCCTGCTTGATAGGAACTACCTCACCCAGGTGACAAGACTGTTCTTGTCCTGTAATAATGAAAGCTTATTTGAAAAGAAACTGGATTGCTGATAAGCACGTTCAAAGATATTATCCCTGATTTAATTCCTATAAACGAGATCTCATGATAAAAAACATGAATAAATTGCTACAGGGGAGGCTGTTTTCTAAGTAATTTTGTATTTGTTTGCTTCCTTTGTGACGTGTGTGAGTGTGTGTGTATGTGTGTGCTGTGTGCATAGCCCACACTAAGCACAGATTCTACCACTGAGCTCTCCCCTACCCCAGGCTCTGACTTTGTTGTTTTATTCTTGGTTTATTTTTATAAAAGTTAAACAGCTTGTTATGAAATTTAATATATAGAAAAATATAAAACAAATAACCCATGCTTCTAAATGTTTTTGCTATCATGAGCAAATTATACTGAGTATGCATTTACATGTGTTTGGACTGTCATCCAGCTAAGCCATGGGATAAGCGACTGGAAATAAAGCTTCTGGGGCTAAAACACCAAAACTTTAGTCAAGGCTTCCAGCCATGGTTGACAACCACTCCGGCTAAAGACAACATGATTCCCTTGGGGTGAGCGGGTATAGCAGTACTGAGTCAGGAGCTCCTGTTTAACGTTCCTACAGGGCTGTGGCAGGTAGAACCTATGTGCTCTGCCAGGTGTCTGCCGCATGCCCCCCCACTCTGTCCACTGCCAGGATGCCCGGCACTGGCCATGGGGTGCCCCACAGTCTTGAGTTTCCATCTTCCTCTAGACATCTGCCCGCACTGCTGCTTTTCCTGGGCACTCAGGATAGTCCTCCCTCTAGCTGAGACCTAGGTGTATTGGTTTTTGTTGTTGTGTTTGCTTGTTTACAAAATGCTTACTCTCTTAGGGATTAAATAAAACAACAACAAAAAGCTGATGTCCTTTCCCAGAGAAGCACACTATTCAGTTCAGTTCATCATGGCTGAGAACCTACTTTCCACCAAGCACTCTGCTTTTGGGCCCTGGAAGCTCAGAAATTAATGACAGAATTTGTGCACACAAAAGCTCAAGAGCCTGAAGAATTGAATTAGTATATCAGCGGATATGGAAAGTAAAAGGATACAAAGGAATGGTGGAGGTTTTGGTTTTGAAACCCAAAAGCAAAGAATAGAAGCCAACCTGGCTGCGAAGGGAGATGGGCTCTGGAAAATGTCCCAGGAAACTTCAGTTGAGCTGAGTCACTGAGTCTTAAGGATAAAGAACATTCAGCTGCGTGGAGAGGAAGGAGAAAGAGGGGAGGTTGATGTGAATTCTACATCTTTCAAGTGCGATGGGAGTTTGAGAAAGAAAATGTGTGGTTTAAAGTGTGGTGTTTGAGGGGTATAAAGTGAGTCCCAACATGTCAGCAGAAGAAGCAGTTAGCGATCTGGATGAAGTCCAGATCCAGGTGGACCAGGGGGTCACAGTCACAAGTATCTTTTACAACTCGTTCTCTCTGGGAGAAATGTGTAAGATGAATTTCAGGGAACCAGGTCTAAGTAGGGAGGCCAGTTGGAAAAATTGTATTCAAGAAGGGGAGAAATGACTGAAAAGCAATTAGGACAAAAAAGAGGATTATTTATGAGACAACTTAGTGATTATAATAGATAGAGCCTGGTAATTGATGCATGGAGTGGTAGGGGAAAGAGAGTAAGGGAAGCGTGGGATGGAGTCAAATGTTCCGGGTATCAGTGTTTTGCTGAGAACACTGAAAGCGAAACACTCTCAGAGCTCTCTGTGCTGCGGTTACCGGGAAGGAGCACCAAGGCCGGACACTGCCGGAGTGGCCTTGCTCTGGCCCCAGCGAGACTGCAGACCTCCAGCTCAGAAGTGACTCAGTATCTCCTTGCAACATTTCCCTACAATTTCTTCATTTCCCTAAAGCTATAGGTTCCTGCATCTTATACCTTTTTTAGGGTTTATTTTCCTTCTTATGGAACAAAAATTCTCCAGGATTCTTAAGGATTTTTGAAATGTAAAATTTTATTTGCATATGCATGTATGTTTTTGCATATATATTTCTTTTACTTTCATTCTTAAATGAAATGTGTCTAGGTTTATCATGTAAGATGAACACCTGTTTCCCTCAGCTCAGGCAAAATGCATTTTGTTTATTTTATCCTCTCTTTGGCAGTGGGAATTATGCCCATGTAAGGAGCATTCCACCTTACGTATTCTGTCTTAACAGTGTGTGGGATTTTCTTTGATGCTTATGGCTTTATTTGTGGTGCTGAGACTTCATATCTATCTTCAACATGATAATTTAGGTCATCAGGCCCTTACTAAATTCTGGAAAGTTTTCATATTTATTGAATTGAATGTTATCTCCCTTTTTTCAACCAATTTTTTTTCTAACTTCATTTCCTGGAGAAAATTATTAGGCCTATGTTGGAATTTGTTATCTGTTTCTTTATTGTTTTTGTATATCTTTACCTGTCGTGGTTGATTTCCACATACTTATCTTTTTTTCGTTAATTATGACTTCATCTATATCAAATCTGGCTTGTAATCATGTCTAAAATTTTTAGCTTAATGACTTTTTACCTGTAGAATTTCCACTTTTAAAAAATATCCTTCCTTTCTTTTCATAACATTTTTATGATATTTATGTTATTTTCCTACTATTCATTTGAACACATTTTATAGATTATTTAGATTTTTAAAAATCCTTTCATGGTGGTGATTTTTCCAGTGAAAATCTTATGCTTCTGGATTTTTCTGATTTTCTATCAAGCTCGCAAAGTTTCACGACCACTTGACAATTTCTTTGCATCACTTTTGACATAGCCATTTCTCTGTGTACTCTCGTGTATTCTTATTAAGTATGTTAACCTTTAGATCCACATCTCCATAATGGTCTGGGACAGACATTTCACTTTTTCGTAGTTTTGTTTCTTGTTTATTTGCTTTGCCCAAAATTCATGCAGGTTTCTTCTTTCATTGCCGTTTCTCTAGGCATGGAGCAGAGTTTTTAAATTTCTGTTTTTCCAACTAGGCAATTCCTCATATAGCCTGCCTGGAGTGATGAAAGAGCCTTCTGGTTCCACAACGGCTTTAAAACCCAGCTTCCACTTCCAAGTCCCAAAACCCCAGCCCGGCACTCCCGCTACACAGTAGGCCGGCTGTAGCCCATTGCTGTGTCTTTGATTTCTCCCTTGACTTTGAGTAAGTGCTTCCAGGTTGTTCCTTCTTTCCTCCAAGCCTAGTTGTATATAAAATAGCTTTGTAATATTTTATCCAGCATCATGTGTACCTGTTGTGGGTGGGAGATGACTCAAGTTAGCTCAGTCTGCCATATTTCTAAAATCATGACTCATTTTTAACCTTTATTTTTATTTTCCTCAAACTGTAAATATGTTCCTCAGTCTTTCCTCTTTAAGTAACAAACAAATAAACAAACATCCCTCCCCCCAAAAAAACCCTTATGATTTTGTGTTTTTATTATAGGTCCCTCTTGCCTTTACTTTCCAAGAGTTGAAAAAGTCTAAACTACATTTTGCTTCTGTTTGTGCATTTCTGGTCCATTTTGCAGCTCCTGCAATCTGGCTTCTTTCTCATCATTGCATAGAAACTACCTTTATAAAGATCACAAATTACATTCTAACATCAAATCCAATGGATACTTTTCAGGGCCTGATTACAAATACCTGAATTTGAGACTTTCATTGCTTTTTTCCTTGAAAACTCCCATTCTCTTTGATTCTATAATTCCACATTGTCCGTGCTGTCCTTGTGTTTCTCTTGATCTTGTTTCTGGACTCACATTTCCCTGGGCCCTGTCTTGGAAGGGTTACTCTTTGGCTCAGAATGCCTCTCTTTGCATATGATTAACAAAGAATAAACACCGTTTTTTTTGAGACAGGATCTCACTATGTATGCCAGGCTGGCCTTGAACTCCCTATATAGCCCAAGCTGGCCCTAAACTCAGCAACCCTCCTGCCTCAGCCTCCTGATTGCTGAGGCATGCTGCCGCACCCTCCTGATTTGATAGTTCCATTTATGTGGACTACCCCTGTCTCTCTGTCCATTTTGCCTCATGTGAGATGGTGAGTTAGAGCATTAAGTGGTGAGTTACAGCATTAAATGGTGAATTAGAACATTATAAAACAGGGCATTCCTGGCTCTGCTTCTCCAGCTGTATTAGAGTTGGTTGCTTTTAGGATACCGTGTGTTTCTGTGCTCCTTTGTTTATGCATTTCTCCTGGCTCCCGGAGAGACACCAACAGAGGGCCAGCACCACTTGAGTGCTGGGAAGCCTCTTCCTGTCTTTAGCACAGTATTACTATAGTGGGAGGTTCATTTCCTGCATGTGTACATCATATCCGCCAGTACATTTTGGCCAATAGACAGTGACTGTAAGCTCCCATATTCTGACTAAGCTCACATATTTGTTGTACTGTTCATTCAGGAGTAAGGAAGAGGAGTCACAACCAAACCCTCTGGACACCCAACTAGTCTTTCTGATCACTCACAACTGTTGTTTTTGTTGTTGTGTTATTATTATTATTATATCATTATTATTGCTACAGTACTGGGGATTGAACTGGAGCCTTTGCACTGAGCTTCATCCCCAGTGCTTTTTATTTTTTATTTTGAATTAAGGTCCTGATAAGTTGCTAATTGCATAGGCTGGACTCAAGCCTATAATCCTCATTCCTCAGCCTCCTGGAGAGCTGAGTTTATGGAGTGCGCCACCATACCTGGC